CAAGCAGGATTTTCTAACTTTCCAGCAGACCAGAGACGCTATCATTTTCCAAGGTCTCCAGGATATTTCTGTAGTTGACCCATTACTGAGTATAGAGCTCAGAACAAGGGAGGAACACATTTTTTAGCACTTACCCCATTAAATTTTCTTTTTCCATGATGACATGCTTCTGTTATTCATGTCCCTGAAGGTTCCTTATCTTTCTTTCAGCTTCTAAAGCCTCCGAGGAGCCTGTGACGAGATCTCACACACACAGAAATCAAGATCACAAAACCAGATGGTTGTGCACAAAGGTGAAGCAGTGTTGGCTGGCCCCAGTGGTTCCTAGAGTTCCTCCGTGTGGCCAACTTAAAAATAATTGCTTTCACTTCATAATTACCTTGAACTGCGATGGTAAAAATGGGAAATCGGTTTTTCCATACGCAGTGGCATGCGATCGTCCTGGTTACGCTATGAGACTTTGTACTGCGCATGTGCATGCTGTTACTGGGATTTCAACGGTATTTTGAGCCTTGTGTGTTTAAAACGCCAGTGTGTGCCACTGGGCAGCTTCTCGCCAGTGGAGGCTCTTGCTTTACTTCTTTGCAGATTTTCCTCTGGTCTGTTAAATCAAGTAGGGAGGCCCTTATCAAATGCCCTTATCCAATTACCATGTGGAGGGAAATTACTTTTATTTGTCATCTTGTAATATTTATGCACTGCATTATTTTTCCCCTTTTGTTAGGTGACTTATGTTTCTGTCTTCTGTGCCTCTCTCAATTATTTATCACTGTCTGATTGAGCTGGCAAGTACCTCGTGAAAACACAAGGCGCTGCCTTCATTTCTCCTTCCAGCAGATCCTTTTCCACCTCAGCTTCAACGTAATAAAAATCCATGTACCTTTTCCATTTCCTGTGAGCTATGGTATTTATACAGCAAATTCATTGTGGTTGCTACAGCCACAACGGCACAAGATTTCATTAGCGCAGCTGTGAGCAGGCTACGTAAGACAGACGCAGCTCCAATTTTGCCTTGGGGCTGTTTGCAACTTCTCATTTATCAGTTACGAAGAAAAACTATTCCAGAGTTCGTTACTGAAAAGACTGAAAGCTGTTACTTTACAATACATGGGCAGACAAAGAGAGAAAATCCAAGATACTTATCCAAAAAATAATTATAAAATTATTCCTCCTAGTGTGATAAGGTATCATTTCGGTTGTCTTAATGAACAGAATGGTAAGTAATTAATCCACTAGAATACTGCCATTGCACCGGGATGGGCCACAGGGGTTTGTAGTCCGGGGACCGAAGCCTCCTGTCAGTCCTACCTCCAGAACAACTTGCACTTGTAAAAAGCCTGGCAAAAGCCCGAGTAGCCCATGAACAGTTGTGTCTATAAGGTGCAAAGCAGCCATAAAATCTGAACCAGAGATTCCTTCTCTGTTTTTTGAGAGAGGAGCAACGCTCCTCTATCATGGAATGACAAAGGACTCCCCCCTCGTACCATCAGAGACCCCTCAAAAAGCCAAACCAGAAGGCAAGGAAGGAAAGCCACCTGCCTCATCTGCAGGGCTGCGTCGCGATGGCACCGGTCCTGTCGGTTATGGGGTCTGGGCACACAGCGTGAGGCAAAAGCCATCGTCCCCCAGCTGGGGTGTCTTTCCTAAAGCACCGCCCCTGGGAAGCAAAGGATTACAGAAGAAAATTAGTGTTAATTTACAATAATAATAATAACAACAAAAAAGAATACATTTGTGGCTGTCCTAGTTGCAGAGAAACGTTGCAGAGCACGAACTTAGGTGGAACCTCAGAGAAGCCAAATACCTGTTTATTTTTGTTACAGGATGAGAAGGGGCAGAGGCCCTGACTTTTCCCAGACTCTTGGGATTGGGTGTATTGCTACGCTTTGCCAAAATTTTCAAAACCGGATGAGAGACCTACTAGGAGCACAAGTCCTGCTCTTACTCTGCGCAGAGCAGAACTCCTGTTTTCTCGTGCCGCTGCATTTACTGTCTGAAATGCAGCAATTGGTCCAGGGCAGCTCCATCCCTCGCGTTGTTTGCTCCAAACACGTAACAAGCGTCAGATTACTGGCACCGTCTGCTCCGTTTCTGGCTGTTTCGCTTCCCCTGCGTTAAACCAAGCTCCTTGCTCGCTCTCATCGCTAGCCATCAGGAGAAGGCTTGAACGCAGGAGCCCTGGTGTTTCTAACTTGATGAATACCGTTGGCTGGCAGCCTCAGAAGTGACTTAGAGCTACAGAGCAAGCACCGGTGTGTCGGATTCCTTGTTCCAGATCGGGGCCTCATCCAGCTTAGCCACGCCAAGCTAGGCACCCCACCACTGCCTTCCCCAGGGAAGGAAGCTCCTCTGGGAAGCTCTGCTTCTCATCAATATGGTCACCTCCCTGCTCCTCACTACCCTGAGAAAGTGGCTGGGGGGAGACGAGGGGAGGGG